TGCCATGCTGCCGGCAAATATATTTTTTTCGGAAAGATGTTTATGTAATCAGGTAGCCAAGTACTAGGACGAGCAGAATGATTTGCAAGAAGAACGTTCTGCCCTTGGGAAATGTTAGTATATAGTGAATCCCGGCATTATCAGTACCTTATGGTGATAACCAACCCCGCCTTGTACGGTTGTGCCGCATGGCAAAGCTGCAATCTGTCACCCGGTGCAGCGGTTGAGCACCCCCAACCATTTTGAAAAATCGACACCCCTGGCCAAAGCGGTGATAATCGTCGAAACATCGCTGAATAAACATATTGTAGGTGCTTACATAACATATACACTATTTTTTTAGCCACCATTTTCTCTCGCTACAAAAATTCATTGCTTCGATGTTACAGTTACTTGCTTTGCACATTGCACAATGCAAATACTTACCTATCCAAGCGTAAGAGCCGAAGAACGAGACAAAGCAATTACACGCCGAAGCAATTTTCTGTCAATGTTGCATGACTTCCGTTTCTAAGCGTGCGAACACGTGCACTGTACAAATAACAATGCTCTATTCCAGCGTGTGATTGCCCGCTTCAATAGCACACACGGGACCTTTCGTGCAAACGAACTGAACTATTTGGTAACTAGTGACATGCACTTCTGAGTCGCTGGACGCTGACCGCTTCCCTTGGTCAGAAAACCCGGAACTTGACCGTTGTTCCAGCCCATATTTGTTATGCCATCTATCAAGAACGTGCTATTGCCTGTCACACACCAAACGAGTCAGTGACATGTCGGCTGTCACCTAAGCTCAGCGCCAGTCAATATCTTTCTGTATGATGTTTCTGTGTATCCTCCCGTCCAGATATAGCCTTCAACAAATGTCGAACGTCTGCCAATGCCTTTCTGTCGTTGTGGGGGCATTCCATGTCAACCGGGACAGCCAAAATCGGCCACCTCATGGTGTGTCAAAAGTGGAAATAGCCGGTGCGCCGTCTGGCAACCCGGCAGCCCGCCGTCATAGGGAAATTCATGCTTTTTGTCGCTTTTTCGCTCCTTATGAGTCACTTGATCTAATTAGAGCTTAACTAGGAACGAGGCGGGTCACTTGGACGTATTCGGGAGCCGAATACGGTGTTTTGGAGCCAATACCTGGGAAACCCTACCCGCCCAATGCGAGTATTTAAGAGTCTGCATGCCCAAATTAACGCTGAGCGCGGCCGTTTTCGGTCGGTTTTCCGCGACCTTGTGGCGAAATCGCCTTATTTATTCAACCAGAGTGGGCTAATTCGCTTAACTAGGAATGAGGCGTTGAAGAGAATTATTCAAGGAATAGAGTTGTGCAAAAATATTTTTTGTATTGTTAAAACCGTATCCGCCCTCGAACGATAAATATTGTTGACCCATCAGGAACACATCCCCTGGAATGCGTTTGGACTTGGCTGGATCTAATATTAGCGAGTATCTGCTAATGCAGTTTCTTAGCTTACACAGTACGCACACAAGCATACATACTTCCTGCCCTTGGTTATCCCTCACTTGAGTGAAAATTTTGCTATAATAACCATTCCAAGCAGTTAACAGGTTTTAGTGCAGTGCCAGGTCGGAACCGTTCAGCGCCGCCAGTGTCCCAGGCGGCGCGTAACGGCCGCCGCCGGCCGCGCGCCGCCGCTCTGGCAGGGTGTTTGACTTCATATCTCTGTTGCTAGAAAAGTTGTGGACCGATTTACATGATTCTTGCATGAAAAGATCCGCCATTCAATTCTTAGCAGATAACGAAAATTTGACGTCAATTGCACGATCCGCTGCCCATGTTGTGGTACTGCCATCTATTGACAAGGCTGGCGAACTAAAGCCGGGCGGCTATTTCCACTTTTGACACACCATGTCTGCGATTTTGTTCAAACTTGGTATACTCATTGGCTATTGGGTGAAACCTCTGAGGGTGAAAGGATTTTGCCATATGCCCTCGGGTTACAGAGATACAAGCCGCTAAACTTATGCATTTTTAGCAGAATTGGACGTGTATTGCAATCTTGAAAGATCTATAGCTTCAACATTTTTGAAGCTATTAATTTCAAACAAACTGAGACGTGTACATAAGGAGTTGTGCTAGTTAAATTTGGCAATTTTCACATTTTTTTGTGATTTGGAATTTATTTTATTTTGATTTAATTTCTTAAAATCTAATTTGTGGAAAATGGGTACCCTTCCATTTTGCTGAAATTTAGATATTGTCTTTCACTACACGTAAGGCACACGTGCTGAGAAAATTAGAGTGGGCCAACGATAACTTTGGATGATATAGCAACAAGTAGTGCAACGTAGCACGGGCGGTGGAAGGGGCGGATTTCGCCAACCCCACCTGTTTTTCGCCAATAACTCACGCCATACTTTTTATATTAACGTCAAACTTTCAGTATCTGTCTGGAATTGAATTGTAAGTCCTCCCATGCAAGCAATAGGTAAATCGGTCCACAACTTTTCTAGTAATAGCGGTGTAAAGTCAAACATCTTGCCGGAGCGGCGCGGCGGCCGGCGGCGGCCGTTGCCGCCTGAATGGTAGACTGTGCCGGCGCGGGACGGTTCCATCTTTGCCTGCTCTTCTCAACGCTGATTACGATCGATTCGTGTCAAATTTTGTGTGAAGGCTAAAAAATGTACAGTCAATCTAATGGATAAATAAATACGAAAATCAACTGGTAAAAATTGAATTATTAGGGTGCTAACACAACCTTTGACTGAAACGTTTCCCACGTCGGCCGATCCCCGCCTCTGCTGGCGACATCTTACTCTTAGCAGGCCACTAACTGCCAAATTTATGGTTAGATTAACTACAAATTCTCATAACACTACACATGTCGTATAAAGCAAGAACTAGGAAAATCAGCCAGTAGCCTTAGAGCTGTGGGCGTATAAACGCAAAATAGTCACTATAGCAAATTTGATCACGTTGAACCTCATTTGATCTTGAAGATATTGATCTAGGGTCATGAAATTGGCACACGATAATAAAGTTCCCCTCCGCCCCACTTACAATTCAAATTCCGTTTTTTAACACCTTTTTTGGCTAAACCGGGTGTTTCTCCCCTAGCGCTGGGAGTCAGGCGTATTTCCTTTTTGCAACCAAAGAGAGGCGCTGCCCGGAGAATGCCCAATTGCATCATTAAAAAAACTGGCTTACATCTCCGCGATGACCACCTATCTTCATGGCTTAGTAGTGCCGAGTGTACCCCACCTCGTATTCTAAAGGTCGCTGGCTCGCGGCCGGTCAGCCTCAAGTGTGTTAACACGCCTTCGTTTTTAAGTAGGTAGCATCTGGCCAGCCGGCAAATGTCGTGAGGGCTAATGTTCATATCTAAGTAGCATTTGGCCAGTCGGCAACTGCCGTGAGGGCTGTACATATTTACGCGTGTTAGATTAGGTCAGGTCACGTCAGTTCAAGTTAGGTTTGCTTTGGTTTGGGGTAGAAAGAAGCATCTTCGGGTAGCGCCTCTCCTTGGTTGCTAAAACGAAACGCGCGAGTGCCAGACATTACGAAGTCCAAAAGACAGTTACGTAGACGTCGGCCCATTCTGGATTTTTTATATGATGTAGCTCATGTATAGGAGAATAAAATATGTAAAAACCAGCAAAATCGAAGGGTACCCATTTTTCAGAAAATCAAAATTTATTTTTTGAATTTTAATTAAGTTCACTAATTAGTTAAGTACGTCAATATTGTTATCCTCAAAGTAAAGCCTGAACTATTCCCTCCATTTCACACTTTGTTGCGTGGTGATATGTCTAAAACTTCAATAGTTATGACGCTTTAAAGATGATAATGTGCCTTGCCTAAGTCAATGTTCGATGACGTATATCTCGGAAACGTGACGTCATATCTTGACAAAAAAATGTCTCCTTTCTTTTCATATATAGATGAGTAGTTTCACAAAGTTTCGCAAAAATCGGAGGAGGTGAGGTTCAAAATGGTCATTTTTTGTCCCACTTGACGTGGAATGCCCCTGTGTTGTTGACCATTGTCCGCGCAGAGGAACCATAGGGCTCACGTCTCCCTTTAAATTTACTTCCCACACACATACTCCATGCCCTGACAGGCAGACACACATGCACAGTGAACATATAGCCGCGGCACACACCTTATACGGAAAACCCTCAACAAAAGCACACCGTCACAGTATCGACAGCTGAAGTCATCAACCCGAGGGCGTTCCGGTTTGCCAGCCTGTCTAGCCCGGTCAATTCGCAGTGTTTCATCGCTCACCTCAGGCCATTGTCCATATTTCCTCCAGGATTAAACAGGCAAAAATGGGATACCGCAAGCTCGTGAGCGACTACCAACTACCACGCTGTTAGTCACTCACGAGCGCGTCGAATATTTGCACCGTGTTCTGTACCGGTCTCCGCGGGCGCCGATGACTTTTATCGTTAGCGAAGCTGGATGTTAGCCGTATTGACACAGAACGGTATGGTTCGTCGCTTTTGTAGCGGCGATGGCCAGCCATGGGGCGGGTGACCTGTCTCGGCCTTTGTACCGACCGGACAATGGACCTCACCGGTCGTGACGTCACCAGTTCTGGTGGTCGTGACGTCATTGGTATTGGAATGTGACTTGCCTCAGGCTGCCGAGGCGCCGACGAAGGAGTTCATTAGAGGCAGGCACGTGCAGTGCTGGGCCAGGGACGGCGGCAATATGTATGCAGGAATGAGGGAGGTGTGATAATGGATCAGGGTCGTCTCGTCTGAAGTAGGCTTACAAACTGGTCTTCATCGAAGTCGAACAGAGAGCCATTTGTCAATGACAGTGCTTACGGGTTAAAGTATGCATGAACAATGATTGGGCCCTTCTTGCAGCCCCGTCCACACTTACTACGACTATGCATCTGCATACCAATGCGTATATGAAATGTCCGCCATGCAACAAGTTCGGCTGAGTGTTGTGAGAATCGTCTTTGGTCCACACTGTCCCCGACTCGTCTTGTTTCTGCTGCTAACCTTCCCACTCCTCTCCGTTTCAGGTTACGTGGGCTGCCGACCGCCGGGTACCGCCGCCCTTTCTCGGGTACTGTTCTCTGTACCCGCCTCTCCACCTCCTGCGCCTTCAGTACCTCCCTCGGTACCTTCCGTACCCGAGCCAGCGGCACAGACAGCCGAGCGACCGGGTGCCACTCACCTATCGCCTGACCATGCCGTCAACACCAGCGAAGCACTGGTGTTTCAGCCCGGTACATGGGCGCGCTACTCCTGCGACCCGGGCTATGTGATGGTCGGGGATTCGCTGCGGATCTGTCTGGACACAGGACAGTGGACTGGAGATATCCCACGCTGCTGTGAGTAGGAACCTGTGAAGGTTTACGTAGCCTTGGTAGGAACGTGGGTGGCGTCATATGTGGGGGATGACGTCATATGATGACATGGCGTCATGGTGATGGATCCGGCATCGGTATTGGTATGCAGGTGTGCACAGCTGTCCATGGGTTACATGGCGGCTTAGCGATGTTTAGGGCTGTCTGGTAAAACCGAGGAACAGCTGATGTATGCAACTGCTTACTGATTGTTTTGCAAGGTTAGTAGTTGGTACTTGGTACACAGGACCCTCTTCCGTAAATCTTCTTAGGATGCGACTATCAGCGCCCCAGTGCACAGTTGTCATTAATTCAGCTTTGAGTTCCATTGTATTCGGATGGATAATTCGAATCATTTACATAAATACGATTTTATATTGTACAAAATTGCACGGATATAATTTAATTCACATCTGTTTCACGTATTACGGCTCCACCGTCCTCCACGTATCCATGCATGGCTAAAGATGTGCATAGATGATATGAAACGATTTTTTTCTTTTATCCTGTGCTTGCCCTCAATCATCACTTGGAAGACTGGATGAGCTCGTTATTATACTCACAGCAAGCGTTACGCCATTCTCTCATTTGTGCGAACCGTTATTATCAGATATATATGTATCAATACCTACGTTTGTGTGTGTTATTCGCCATGTTTTCTGACTCGTTCCGCGGACCATTCACGTCTAATCACAGATCTGAATGTGGCCGAGCACTCGAGTCTGGCGGCGGCACACAGTCCTCTGGTGGACGGGGACCTGGCCACCTCTGACGACCTGCTCGCCCTGTTCGAGGGGGGCAGGCCGCTCTTCATCGACCTCTACTTCCCCTTCCCCCTGCTCGAACTGAGACTGCTCACCATCTACAACCTAACAGGTGGGTTAAATCTGCTAGGTAACAGAGAGGTGGTCCACATATGATCGGTGATAAATGTTGCTGTATACCTTACAAGTCGACGATGTTACCGAGCCGACACTACTGTAGGTATACTGGATCATGATTTTAAGTCGTGTCGCGGTCCCTTTCGTAGCCAGGTTCTCGCCAAGACAAGATTAGCGATAGCGTGATGAGCATCGAATGTTATCCAAGCACGACGAGCACGAGAGGCGGCGTCCTGCTCAGACTCGCTCTCAGTTCTCACGAGGAACACCTCCAACTTGCCGTGTTCAGCTACAAATTACAATCACGTCTGCGAAATTTCATGACTTGCCGAAAAGCGGATGTGAAGCCACCAGAGTAACGGTGTTCCAAATCTCGAGTGCGTGTCAGTCTCACACATGAAGTGCGTTTTCTCTGCTTTCAAAAATTAGCCCCACATGCCATCACGTTTTCACTTTCCTCAGGAATGAGCATCCAAGTTCGTCTCAGCGAGAACAACGTCTCGTGGATTGGCTTCTCGATGCAGCTGGGTAAGCATCCTGAAACTCATTTCTAAACGACTGGTGACGGTGACCCGACAATAATCCCGATTAGCCGATCAGATTGCCCTAAGTCACGCGACAATCGCTTCCAGCCGATCGGAAACCTACCGGAATCTGAACAGTGAATGGCGCCCGTCACATGCACGAAAATGCTTTTACTTTCCGGGCAGGCCTATAGCTGAACGAACAGATAGCCATAATTCACCCTCCATGGTATTCAATAAATCAATCTTGTCGGAGCTGGCTTACGAACTAGGTATCACTTTCCATATGAACGATGTCACAAGCATAGGCATGGTGGGTGGATGCCCCAACCACTAACATTTAATATCGATCTCGATCATACATTCAACACTCCTCTTTTCGGTACTTGCCACCTGCTCAATTCTTTAAAGTTTGTCTGTCTGTCTGTTCTCTTTAGTTTGTCCTCTCTCTCTCCCTCCCTCCCTCTCTCTCTCTCTCTCTCTCTCTCTCTCTCTCTCTCTCTCTCTCTCTCTGCACCACTCTGCCCTAGGCTGACCCCATGTCACCGTGTCCCCACAGATGCACCTCAGCCGCCGCGACCCGAGGTCAGAGGTCTGGTCATCCACACAATATCGCTGCAGAATACCCTACTGAAGAACGGCGCCCGCTTCATCAAGGTGTCTCTCTTCCACTCCAGCGGCGCCTACTTCAAGCGGGCGCCCTTCTCACCCGTCTGGCCGCTGCATGAGCTGCAAATTGTCGCCCAGAGCACAGGTTAGTGATCCAAGAGAGGTTGGTGATCCGTGAAGGTCAATGGTATGTGGACACAACAAGGAACGATGACCTGTGGACTCTGTGCGGAGCAGTGACTCATTCAAGTACACAGGGCTGAGCTTGTCAGGTGCACTGCGTCTTTGTGTAAATCGCAAGCGCCTCTGCATTGGAGGTCCTGTTGAAAAGTTATCCCAAACCGCAAACCACATAGCTTCCATGCTAGCTTCCATGTTTCGAAAGCGACTCTGGCCGGCAGGGAAGTCTCCTGCTAAGGTGATGGGTAGGGTAGCCCGCGTGCAGCCCATCGTGTGCCCGAGAACCGGTTCCCTCGACCGAACGGTGACGCTACTGACCCGTCGTCCAGGGACAAAAACCCGCCGGCATTGGGCCAATGCAGCCAACAATGCGCTGAGGCAGCTGTTCTCCGGTATAGCCCGGTCTCCTAATGTGGTCACGAGTAACGGTGCTTCTTCTTGCTGACCACAAAACAGGTGCCGAAACCGTGCACTTATGGACACGTGCGCCCGACACCGAAGGTCGATAGGATGATAATGACAGGCTACACTGCTTGGTACCGCCGCAACAGCCATTTATTATGGTCACTTATCGTTCATTCTAGCAAGTTGTTAAGATGTCATTGAAACTGACTTTTTATCCGCCTACACCCGTCAATGGGTTCGAATGATATGCTTGAACGTAGTTTTCGTCGATGATCTGACCTCCAAAAGCTGTCATGTCACCAGAACTTTCACTTGGGTTCAAAGCATAGCAAGACCTAAACGCTTCATCTTTCACCAACAAAAAACAAACGCAAAACAACAAACAAACAAGAAAGCAAGCAAGCAAACAAGCAAACGAGGAAAAACTGTCACATCTTCGGTGCTCCTCTAAAGCCATATGTGACCTCAACGGTGATCGAGATTCGAGCAGTGCTGACCTAACCTGACCTATTACCACCCTCCATCACAGGTCTGTCGCGACACCAGTGTCTGGACGACCTGGGTCGGTCGGACGTCGCCGTGACCTGGGCGGCGGGTGACCGATGTTACCACCTGGTGAGCGAGCGGGCCACGCGCCAGCAGGCGGAAGACACGTGTCGTCGGCTCGGAGACGAAGGGACGCTGTTCCGAGACACATCGACAGGTCTTCATGCTATGGTGGTAGATATTCTCAGGTGAGCCCGGTGCTAGTGTCATTGAGGGCTCAAGGAGGGACGGCAAGGGCAGGTGTTCCAGGGTTGATTCATCAGGTGTAAAAATAATGTTATTGTTTATTGTTGTGGTGTTGTGTTATGAATAAGTTCTTCCTGGATATTGTTATGGATTTCCTATGAGGAAATTAAAATAAGAAAGGTGCTCACAAAAAACAGTTGGTGATTGTAATTCCTGCCTTGATTAGGTACTAATTTGCGTTTGATACCGCATTTTATAACGTCTAAAACCATTCATCAGGTGGAATCATCAGCAAATTCCAATGTTTATTAGGCCGAAAACGTTGATCAGGCGCGTACATTGAACGTATACGTGCCGTTTCAGGTACCGCCGGTTTCTGAAACTGGCCCGGACCTCTGACGTTTGGAGCGGCGGAGTGCGAGACCCTTCACCGGGGCAAGGTGAGGCAATTCGATGTTTCAAAACCTGAGAACACACGGACGCTGAATCCTATTCAACTTTTCTCCGACGTCCATGTGTTCCCGTTAGAATGCGTCGCAATGTTTCACTCACGATTTAATGGAGCACTTTCCTCCGGCTACCTGTCTCGAATCTGCCTTAGCCGTGACATGCGAATTAGTGTTGATACGGTGGCGATAGATTTCACCATCAAACGACAGGGAACGGAGCGCGGGCATACATTTTCCTATGTGATCAGAAGCGAGACAAGACAGCCAGTGCCGCCTACTGCGACAGGCAACACGATTACCCATACAGTCTAACCGAAACAAGTGGGAGGAAAACCCCCTGATCTGACGGCCGGCCCCTAATCGGTTTTGTAAATGTACTTTTAAAGTGATAAACAACATTGTGACGACATGCTGTTTACTCGGTATCAGTCCGAAACGCATGCTATCTCCAGATCAGTCCCAGGTTTTCCCGATGGTAAGCGGGAGCGATGAGTAAGTCCTTTTTACATCATACCTACCATAGATATTCCAACCCGACCGAACATCCGCAAGCCAAGCTGCGACAGTTGCTGCTTAGCAACAAACAGTAAATGACGAATCATAGCACGAGCTATGTTTTGCATGCCCAGCTTTTGCCTCAGCGCCACGGCGAAACAAGTGTCGTCCATCCTTCTTCAACTCCCTCGCTAATTTTTTCAATTTCTCACATTCCTCTCACACACTCACGCTGTATTTCTCGTTACAGCGGATCAGCCAGTACCGCCGGGCTCCTGCCTGGCCGTCCGCCGTCGATTTGGCTGGAACACCGTCCAGGTGGCCTGTGAGGCTCGGTTCCGCTTCGTCTGCCAGCGAGGTGGGTATGCAATGCGGTATGCACCGTGCATGACTGGTGCACTCATAAACAACATTTGTGGAACGTTTTACCGGGTCCGTACGTAGACATAATGAACGAACAATGGGCATTCACTGGCTGTTTTGAATGCTTCAGTAGGTCACTACTCGTCAATTGTTTAACTCGAAATAATTGATTCCGTGCTGGACCCATTATTTTGATTTGCCTCAGCTGGACAATACACCCCTATACGCTGCACAGCCGTGTATCCATCGACTGCACTGCCGGCCAATTTACCTACACAGCCATACATTGATAACTAAAGCCGTGACGTGCAGTCGCCGACACTTGGACCGTGGTTATTATGCCTTCATGCATCCACCATACAAAATCTCACACTGTTCCAGTGACTAACATCTTTCTCTCACCAGCGCCACGACTCTGCGGCAGTCCTCCCCAGAAGCCGAACCTCATCTACAACCGGGCACGGCCCACTATCGACGGTGGAGTCATCAACGTGACGTGTGTGGACGCCCACCTGACCACCGGTCACATCCAGTGTCATCAGCGCACCTGGACTCAGCCGAACTTCTGTGACCGTCGTCCGCGCCCATCGCCCCCGTCTCCAAAGTCACAGCCATGGCCCACTCCCTCCGTGCACACAGGTTCGTGCGTCATTCGACTCAGCCCTCTGTTTTACCCTCTGTTAGTATGGAAAGCGATATCCATGTCTTTACGAGTCAGTACGACCCTTTTGATTGTATTCTTTATTTCTAAAGAACACTGTTTTGCTTTCGTTACTGTCAGACACACCACTATTTTGATACTAAACATAAGTCTACAAGAACTTCTATCAAATAGTAATAACGTGGCATAATGGTAGCGAGTTGTAGCAAACCACGCTATAATAACGGCTATATTTTCACAGTTCCGGAAACGACTACCGACTCGGGAACAGCCGAGCCAAAGAAGAGCTCGGATGAATCAATACCGGCCACCAGAAGTACGTAAAACAGGGATGATGATCGTGGGAAGGATTTGTGACCGTTAATTTAAGGACAGAGTCTGTGGACTGTCCAGTGTCCACTGTAGTCTGTGGACTTCTAATAATAATATTCGACGCTAACTTGTGTAAAAAGGTTATAAATTTGAATTTTAACACGGAAACGAAGGTGACATCCTCACCGACACTCTCAAGAGCCTTATACCGTTCTGTCATTTATTGCGATAAGAAACTAACGAATGTGCCGCCCCGCAGAATACCTCGGCGCCATCATCGGCGGTGTGGTGGGAGGCACCATCGTTCTGGCGGTCATCGCCGTCCTTCTCATCTGCAACTCTCGACACAAGGACGACAAGCTCACTCATGAGCCGTACAACTTTATGGAGTTTTGGGGCCTCGGTCGGAACCAGACCCACAAACAGGAGGAGGACGATCACGTTTACAGGTACGATGCGTGGCGAGAACATTTGCCAAACTAATGGACAGGAGGGGATAAAGCGTCACGAGGAAACTTTAGCCTAGTTGTACTGGGACAACTAGGCTAGATAACTGGGACACCAGTTGTTGTTCAATGAAGTGATCTAATCCCTGAGGGCTCGAAAAAAAAACTGTAAAGAAAAATGCTAACGAGCTATTCAATTTGATCACTAGAAGATAAAGTACGCATCACGAGTACCTCTTCGTATTTACTTTTTATTTATTGTTTGCTTCAGAAGACACCATGCCCTTGCTTTGCTAAAATCTCTGCTTTCTCATTTCAGCGAGGTCGGCGGCCCGGAGGCCATTTACGAGGAGCCTCGGTTCGCGTCCGGCCCGGGCCGGCCGCGGCACCCGCCCTCTATTCGACCACCGCCACTGCCGCAGGAGCGTGCCCCCACGAGCACCCTGGAAACCGTGGTCAGCCACGGCGACTCCGACTACGAGCTCTGTCCCACGCTGGACAGCAAGGCGACGGCCGCTGCCGTGGCGGCGGCAGCAGCTGCGAGGGCAGGAGAGATGGCTTTCCACCGCACCAGTACCATGGAAACGCTGGTGTGTGGAGAGGATTTGCAACGAGAAACAGAGTACTCAGTGCCGTTCGCAGGGCCCGCCGGGCGTCTCTCTCGCGGGGGAGAAGTGAACTCGAGTTTCGCCAGGTCGTCGGTAGATGGCGGGACAGTGCCACAGCGCGGCAGAGCGGTCTCGCTCGCCACCAGTGAAGGACCGTATGCGTTACCGTACGACCCCCGAGCGGACGACGTCTCGGACGCTGATAGCTCAGTGGAACAGCGACGGAGTGTGCCCGATGTCGTCAGTTTGACGGCGAGATACTCGGGAAGTGCAAGGTGAACGGTGCTGCCCTCTGGAGAAAGTGACACGAACAGTGCTGTCCTCTGGGGAAAGTGACACGAACGGTGCTACCCTCTGGAGAATAGACACGACCGGTGTTGCCTTCTGAAGAAGTGACACGAATAGTGCTGCCGCCTGCGCTGCGAAGTGTGGACAACGAGCATCCCAGCGATGCACCAGCCCCGTGCAGTGTGTTTTCTTATCATTGCTAACCCATGAACTGTCTGGTGATGACATGAGCTTATCAAACGTTTAAATGTGCCAATGTTGAGCGTGGAGTTTGCCTTGATTGACGATATCGACGTCGTATTCCCAGCGAGGAATTACTTGCGACCATAAGGCGACGACATAGTTTTAGACATACCTTCTGTCGCGTAGGCACGGACATGGAGAGAATGACTAGGAGAGGGTGCCATTACGGCTCAACTAGTTCCCTGTATTTATGGGGAAGGACATGTTGTTTGTGGGACTTATTTAAAAAGCAAAAATTCGCAATTATAAGTAGTCTAATTTTAACGAAATATTTTGGGTACCGTTTCTAAGACAGCTGATGTATAACACCTATCCAATATTTTCGGAATCTCATCTCATCGTCTAGTCGCCCCTTATTTAGGTTGTAATTGGTAGGTAATGGATGTCATCAAAATGAAGCTAAGCTTAATGAATACCGGCTAAACCGATATTCGTACGCCAGACCACTCGCAATGTCAGACATTTTCGACGCATGTGCTCTGTTCCAGTGATCTGTGATATTTGTGTTTGATTGAATAAATGATCCACCCAAGAGATAACGAGGCTGATGCCATCCACATGCAAAGCGGGAACCATCCTCGGGCTGTTTCTCTGCACAAGAGAAGCTGGTTGCATTTAACAGTTTTATAAATGTGACTGTGACGGGTCCGATACACCAGCAGACGCCTTTTCAGTTTATTAATTCTTCAGGAAGTAGGCCTGCGAACACACGCACACAACAAGCAAAACCGTTAGCAACTCCAAGCAACTCCATGCACATTGCACGCTGCATAGCAGGTCATGCGGCAGCCACCACGGAACACAACCATGCACAACATGCAACACACACACAACAACACAACATGCCGTCGCGAGCAGACGAGGACGCAACATGCCGTCGCGAGCAGACGAGGACACCAAACCCAATAAACCAAATATGTACATGCCCTGATCCAGCACGTCACATTCCTCCCCTCACAAATCCAGCCTATCGGGGGCCCTCCTTGTCCTTGTACCTCGCCGCCTGAGTCCCAACTGTTGCTCTGTGCGCGTTGCGCACCCCACCGGCTCGCTATCCAACAATGGAGGATTATCCAACGGGCCAGGGGTCACCTCCGAGCTCGCTGCCTGTCCTGATTCGAAGTCGGCACCGCTGTTTCCATCTTCCCGACGTGAAACCTCCTCTTCGGCCCTGCCATGTGAATCTTCCGCAGAAACAGCTTCTGACTCGTCTTCGCTGTCGGGTTGTTGAAATTCTCCTTCATTCGGCGTCTGATCCTGCCGGTCCCTCTGATACACATCATCTCTATCCCTCCGGTCATGATGGTTAACATCGACTTCAGGCCTGTCAGCATGTCTTTCATCATCTCGACTGTGGCAGGGTTTCAGCCTGTCATGGTGAACCACCTGCCGGTACCTGTGCTTGTCTACATGCTTGATTCTGTAAGTCAAGCCATCCTGCAGCACGGCTACCACTTGGTACGGCCCATGCCACGGTCTTTGAAGCTTCGGTGAGCGGCCCGGGTATCTAACTGGTTTGAACAGCCAAACCCAATCCCCAACCTTGTAAAAGAATTGCCGCACACCGCTTGATTGCCGCTCTCTTCGTTTCTGCGCTTCTTTCGCGATGTTCTCACGTGCCCTGCTTTGTGCTCGAGACCAAGCTTGCGTCACTTTCTGAGCGTAACTCTCCCTGTCATTGCCGGCTCCTGGAGAGCCTCCACCGCACGCAACATCCACCGGCAGTCGTGGTTGTCGACCATAGAAGAGGTAGAACGGCGTCTCTTTTGTAGTTTCATTCGCGCTTGTTCGGTATGCCATCATCACGAACGGCAGCTTGTCGTCCCAGTCTCGCTGATCTTGTGAAACATACATGGACAGCATTGTGCACAACGTGTGGTTGAAACGCTCCGTTTGTCCGTTTCCTTGCGCGTGATACGGCGTCGTCCTCGACTTTTTTATATGCAGACGCTGGCAGATCTCCTGGATCAGCGATGCTTCGAAATTTCTTCTCTGGTCCGAATGAATGACCTCCGGGCAGCCATGGCGACAAATCAACTCCTCCACCAAGATCTTGGCCACCGTGTCCGTCCGCTGGTCAGCCAGTGCAAAAGCCTCTGTCCACTTGGAAAACCCGCACGTCACGACAAGGATGAAACGATTTCCTCGATTAGTCCGCGGGAAGGGACCCGCGATGTCCATGGAAATCCACTGCCACGGTCTCACTGGTTTTGGCATTTCACCGAAAGGCGCCCTCCCAGGAGCAGGAAGACTCTTCTTCATCGCACAAAGACGGCACGTCCGAATCCACGTTCTCACATCCTTGAACATTGTACTCCAATAGAACCTCTCTCTGATCTTTTCCACTGTTTTTGTGACTCCGAGGTGACCCGAGGCGGGGTCGTCATGACACATCGCGAGGACCTCCTCAGTTAGAGATCGGGGAACAACCACTTGCAAGTGTTCCGTCGCGTGGCGCTTGTACACGCATACCAGCCGGCCCTGTCCGTCGACCTTCAGTCTGTTTCGCTGCGACATGTAGTGCTTCACCGCCGAAGATGCATCAGAGGGACATCTCTTCCCCGTTCTCACCAGCTCCATGACTACTGCTATGTCCCGATCATCACGTTGGGCCAGCGCCATCCCGTAGTCATCATCCAACGTCACTGCAAATACCGGAGCATTGACCTCGCTGTCTGTCCCTTCCACTGGGCCACGCGAGAGAGCGTCCGCGTGTGGAAGTGTCGGCCCCGGCCTGTACTGGAGGTCGTAGTCGAGCGCCTCCAATTCAAGTATCCAGCGAGCAAGCTTGCCTCGTGGATCCTTACTTTTGCGGAGATGCACCAAGGGGTTGTGGTCCGTCCGCAAAACAAATCGGCGTCCATGCAGGTACACACGAAATCGTCGAGTGGCCCACACAAGGCCAAGGCACTCCCGTTCGGTCGCCGAGAACTTCCTTTCAGTTTTCGAGAGGCTGCGACTGGCGTACGCCACCACTCGCTCCTGGCCTCCTTCTTCCTGCGTCAGTACCGCTCCAATCCCTACTTCACTGGCGTCCGTGGTCAAGATAAAAGGAGCGTTGAAGTTCGGGTAGCACAGCACAGGTGCAGATGTCAGCTTCTCCTTGAGCTGTCGGAACGCAGCGTCGCATTCCTCCGTCCAGACGAATCGTGCACATCCCTCTAGAAGCCGGTGTAGAGGTTTCGCCACGTCTGCGAACTGCGGAATGAAGCGTCGGAAGTACGAGGCAAGTCCAAGGAATTCTCTTGTCTCCTTGACTGAAGAAGGCGTCGGGAAGTGTTTTACGGCCGAAACCTTCGCGGGGTCAGGCGAAACACCTTCTCCACTGACGACATGACCCAGAAACTGAACTTTCTTTCGAAAGAGCCGACACTTTTCAGGGTTCAATGTCAGGTTGGCAGAACGAAGGGCCTGTAGGACGTCCTCGAGTCTCTGCAATGATTCGCCGAAGCTGCCTCCGAACACGATTATATCATCAAGATATACCAGGCAGATGTTCCATACCATTCCCGTCAACGCCACCATCATCAGCCGCTGGAAGGAAGCTGGTGCTCCCTTGAGGCCCATTGAAGTGACATTGAATTCGAAGAGGCCCTTGTGAGTGGTAAATGCTGTCTTGTGTTTGTCCCGTTCCTCTACTTCTTGCTGCCAATACCCACTTTTGAGGTCCAGTACGTGAAACCACTGGGCCCCAGAGAGGGCGTCCAAGCAGTCATCAATCCTTGGCAGAGGAAAAGCATCGCTGATTGTGTCTGCGTTCAACCGACGATAGTCAATGCAGAACCGAATGGATCCGTCCTTTTTCTCAACCGGAACCACTCGTGCCGCGTACGGAGACGTACTCGGCCTGATGACGTCTTTGCTCAACATGTCCTCTACCATGTCGTCCAGCCGCTGACGGGTGTGGTGGTCCACTCTCGTTGGTTGCGCTGCTCTTGGAGGCGTACCCTCTGTCCGAATTTCATGCTTCACAATTCCAGACCGTCCGAGACGTCCATCCGCTGGGAATCTGTCTTGGTAGTCGTGAAGTAGCTTCTTAGCCTGACACTGCTCTTCTCGTGACGTCAGATCAGAGTCAGTGACCAGCCTCTCAACAAGCGTCTCCATTTTCCGTTTCACTTCTTCCGACTTTTTTCCGACTGATTCCCGAACACTCCTGACGTTCTGAGCCAGGGACTCATGAACTCGCGCGACACGTTCGACGTGCCCCAGCGTGGTCCCCTGGTGCAGCTTGACAGGTCCTTCTCCCGGATTCACGAGCCGAACAGCGATCTCCTGCCCTTCTCGCATCACGTCCAGTACCCGGGCTCCCACTACATCGTTGGCTTCTTCAAACGTAGGGTCTGGGCTATACATGACCTCTTCCTGGATGGGAATAGCAGCTTCTACGACTCCCCTTACAACAATCTCATGCCGCCCAGGCAGAACGACCTCGCGAGTCAGTCTCACTCGTGCACATCGCGGTTCTGCTTCTCCTTGGGAGGGGGTCGGAGATGAACATGTTACATCTTGACTTCCTATGGTTACTCTGCCCGACGTCCAGTCAATGGTAACAGTTGCTCCCAAGCGTCTCATCGCATCGGTCCCGATCAAACATTGCGTGTTCATAGACGGCACCACATAAACAGGGTGTTGCAGGAGAACTGAAGAACCAATACATATATCTGCCAGTACTCGGGCCTCACAGGACAAGGGCTTACCGTCTATCGTCACTGGCTGCTGCTGCGAAAGACAACGCCGCAGCTCACGTACACCGGGAACACTCGACCCAACCAGCGTGCATTCCGCTCCCGTGTCCAGCAACCATACTACCGATTCGTTCTGCACAGAGCCCCTGACATACACAGCCCGACCACTTGGAGTAACATAGGACGTCGTGCCCACCAACAAACTGTCGGGAGAAGACTGGTGGTGGGCACCTAAAAATCCAACTTAACACGACACCCACGCGCTATGTGCCCCATCTGACCACAACGATAACATTGAAAAACGGCTCCTCCTTCCTCCCCACCTGCAGAGTTAACAGGACACTCACGCGCCATATGTCCCACTTCACCACAGCGATAGCATTGAGCACCAGATCCCCTTCCACCACCGCCGCGATTTGCACCTGGGCCACGAGCAGCACCCCCATAGCTGCCACGACCGACGCGTTCACCGTGTCCACCGAAGCCACCTCCACCACCACGAGGGCGAAAACTCCCACGGCCAGGGAGGGTCAGCCGCCCGACATGTGCTTGAAGATCCGCCATAGACGCCGCCACCGCGGACACCTGGTCTCGAAGCTCCGCGACCTGAGCATCAACAGACGGAGTGGTCTCCACCCGTCCCACTGAGGCCTGCCGACGGGAGAGCTGAACTTGCTCAATCCGGCGTGCGCTGCGTTCTAGATCTGCAAGGGAACCCCGTTCTTGCTCGGGTGCCTGAAGCATCAATGCCATACGCAAGTCATCATCTAGCCCATTGATGAAGGTGGCTCGCACTACGCCCTCTCGCGGTACCACATCCCAGTCCGGATACGCTCGCTCAGCAAGCT